CTCTGATCGGTTAGGGGCTTGGCTGTGCTCTGATTGGATGGGGGAGTGTTCTGTTTGGGTGGGGGCTTTGTTGTGCTCGGGTTAGTCTGAGTTGCAGGGGGATGTGAAATGGTGAGCTGCATTGCTGTTGTTTGGCTTCGCATTTGTGGTCGTGCCTCATCTTCATGGTGGGTGTCAGTTTGCTTCATGTATGGATTGGAGGGGTTTAAAGTGGCTAATGATGCAGCTGTGGTCTGGCTTCTGGTTTGTGGTCATGCCTCATCATTGGTGTGGGTTTGGGTTTGCTTTTTGCATGAATGTGTGGTGGTGACATCCTGTGTGGTTTTCATGAGTGTGGGTCTGGTGTCATTCTTTGTGTTAGGGACTCGTTTGTCAATAAGGGTGGGTTTCCAAATGGCTGGTAGGCGGGAGGTATCATCTCGTTTATTCATGCTGTGTGGGAGTTTTTCTATCTCTATGGCATCTCTGATTATTCTGTTATTAAAGTGTTCAGTTTTGGCGATAGTTCTGGTCTTTTTAAAGTCAATTTGATATCCTGTGGCTTTAAGGTGTTGGACCAGGGAAGAAGTTGATTCCTCTTTTTTGACTGAGTTCTTATGTTCTTCAATGTGTGCACTTATTCTTCTGTTGGTTTGTCTGATGTATGTGGTAGGACAAGCAGTGCATGGGAAGCCAAGCCCCTAACCAATCAGAACACACCTCCACCCAATCAGAACACAGCCAAGCTCCCATCCAATCAGCTCATACCCCCACTAGCAGTTAAAAAGGAAGAAACAGCTACAATCACACATTGCTCCTAGAAGCAAGAAGCTGAAGACACCAGCCTGAGGATGACGAATGGGACTTCATCGAAACGTCGCCAAGACACTTCCAATTTGACGCGGGAGAAAACCCGAATAACTAAAGACCTAAACCTCAGATATATATATATATATATATATATATATATATATATATATATATATATATATATATATATATATATAAAATCCAATATAAAATATTGGAAAGCTATTTCTGCTTCTGTATAAGACAAGGTAATATACCATACAAATTGGAAAGCAGATAGTGTAAAACTTTCACATCAGGAGATATAAAGGCCATGATTAGTTCTACTTATTTCTGCATTCTTGTTGCATTGTTCCTCAATGTGTGGCACAGCTAAATCCCCAATAAATTGCAGATGACATGATTGGAAAAGAACACAACTATATAGAAGAGACTATAAAGAAAATGCAGGAAAAGTCAGAATTGCCAAATCTCTTTCTGAAATGTATGGACATATGAATATGCTTTAGATTTAGATTGGTTAAATTCTAATTCCAAAACAGTCTCTTCTATATGGTTGTGTTTTGAATTGCTGGAGAAGTTCTTTCAGTTTGAATTTTCACCAAGCTGGATTTCACTGGAACTAACCTAATAGTTTAGGTTATGTCTGTTTCCATTGTTATGTTTGTGAATACTCATGAGCAGCCTAAGAATTTAGATAATCATTGACTATGATTCAACAAGCCATGGATGACAAAGCAGAACTCAAGTTGTAGTATGATTTAAAACACACACACACACACACACACACACACATACACACACTTCTTACAGGCACCAGTTCAAACCTCATTTTGTACCTGAAACAGGTTTTAGAACACCTTTTCACTCATTGTCCCAAAAAAATCTTAAATCGACTTTACATAGTCAGAAAATATGATATTTTAATTTATTTCCCTCTTGAGACTTAGTCAATGTTTTTTATAATGACAGTTGAAACTATACTTTTAACAACTAAATGCACATGTTATTTGCCTATTTTAACCCTAAATTAGAATTCAGCTTTGCTTTATTAGTATGAGGCTATTCAAATAGCTGTGGGAATGGAATGAAAGAGTCAGTAAAACATTTAACTAAACAAAACAGGCAATAACCAGTTTTATAAGCAAGGTAAAATTCTCAATCTCCAATAGAAGGCACTATATATTCCTTCTTGAAATACCACTTAGCAAAAGTCTTATTCAAAAATAATCTGGATCTAATTGGATGACCAGCCAGAAGAGACTCTTCCATATAGAACAATGAAGGGCCTGAAGGCTTGGCTTGAAGGAGGTTGCCCTTGAGATTCAAACGCCTCCCTCCCCCACCTGCAGGAGGTTCCTGAAAACTTGGCTCTTGCCGAGACCTTTGGGGAGGACGATTGAAGCCCTCCTCCCTTTCTTTGTGACTATCTGGTTTCATCATTTTGGCCATCTTTATCCTTTTGTGAATTTACTGTTTCCTTGTTTTTAAATGCTTTAACAATTTGTAAACCAGCCTGAGTTACTGGAATTGGCCACTATACACATTTAATAAATTATTATGTTTATTGAATGAGTAGCAGGTGATGAGGCCTCTCAATTTTCAACTAAATTCAGGTTGTCCGGTTCCTTCTCGCTCCTTATTGATCACCTTTCAGAACTGTCTGACAATCCTAGTTCCTGATTGGTCCTTCTTTATGAGTGCTCTATGTGACATTCATTTTCCAGTATGTATCCATCAGTGTTTAATTTGATAAATTCAACAGCCTCATCACTCTAAGTACAATGGTCCTTTCAAGAGGTAATTAAAACTGTCCTTAAAACTCTAGCTTTAAATATAATACATATTATATACATACATAACAAAAAATTATATATTGCATAGGTAGATAGCAAAGTCTAAAACAATCTTGTATCCTACACAACATTTTCTATATAACAATATAACAATGATGATCAGGGGACTGGCGGCTAAAACATATAAGGAACAGTTGCTGGAATTGGGTACGTCTACTCTAGTCTAATGAAGATAAGGACGAGGGGTGACATGATAGCAGTGTTCCAATATCTCAGGGGCTGCCACAAAGAAGAGGGAGTCAAGCTATTCTCCAAAGCACCTGAAGGCAGGATAAGAAGCAATTAATCAAACTAATCAAAGAGAGAAGCAACTCAGAACTAAGGAGAAATTTTCTGACAATTAAAACAATTAATCAGTGGAACAACCTGCCTCCAGAAACTGTGAATGCTCAACACTGGACGTTTTTAAGAAGAGACTGGACAGCCATTTGTATAGGGTTTCTTGCCTGAGCAGGGGGTTGGATTAGATGACCTCCAAGGTCCCTTCCAACATTATTATTATTATTATTATTATTATTAGTAGTAGTAGTATTTGATGAACATAATAACAAAACTAGGATAAGTCACCCTTCTCAAGAAGTCAATGATTCAGCCAATACTGGACTATCTCCAATTTTGTATGACTTATATGGAGGGAGTACATCTTTTTAAATCATGCTTAATATTTCAGTGACATTCAATACTGTTGATCATTATATACCCATGAGGGTTGCAGATTGGAGGTATTGTTTTCCGGTTATTTTGCTTCTTGAGTGCATAAAGGTTGATCCAATCAGTGTTAATGAGGATGGAAAGATCAGGCCCTTGGCTACGACATTATGAGCCTCAGTGCTCAGTTTTCCCACCTTCTTTTTCAATATCTACATAAATCTACTGGGAGAGGTTTTTTTTTTTTTTTAAATTCAGAGTGAAGTATAATCACCTCTGCTGAGCAGGAAATGCAGTAGAAGTCCTGATCCAGTCCTTGGAATCCATGAATGGGACTGGATGGGATGGAACAGGTTGTGAATAAAATCTAGCATGAGAGAGCTCTTTATTTGGAAACTCCCTGGATCCAGAACTGCAACACCCTTGATTCTAGTTATCTTAGTCATGTCTCCCTGAAGAAGCAGCTGTGCAACTTTGGGATCTTCCTGAACTTATGACTTTTGCAAGCCTTTGTCCAGCATGCAATCTACAAAAAAAGGTTCTGACAAGAGTTATCAATGTTCTTATTTTCTTGAAGGTGAATTATTTTAATTTGCTTTATATGGTGTGCCTTTATAAAAGGCAGCTGCCGATAGGCTGAATAGCCAATACTGATATAGCAGAGGAACATTAATATTGTGGGAGGTGCATTGATTGCCAATTGTACTTCAAGGTTCTACTTATTACTTATAAAGTGCTTTAAGCTTGGATCCTTATTAGTTTGGGGACCCAAGTAAAATCTATTTGCCCAGCACATGCTGGCTGAGGATACACTAAGAAGGCCCCCATCACGACATTAAAGGAATGGCATTTGGAAAAAAGCTTTCTCCTTAGCAGTCCCTTTATGCCAGTTCCTGAAGTAAGGATGGTCCCTAATCTTGGAAGGTGATGAAAACTGCAGGCATTTTGGAATTTGATATAAAATAGTCCTTTTCTAACTAATATTTGGGGGTAAAGATGTCACTTAATTGGATCTCTAACTGGAGGTAATTGTCTAGAATGCATGGAGTTACATAGTGTATGATTTACAATATTCATTTTGTTATTTTTATGATTTTATGGATAGTGCTATATAATTAATAGAGCAGGTGGCATACAAATGTAGCATGACATGAATAAATAAAATTAACTGGTGGAAATATTTATTAATTAAAATGGGGAGAAATTTCTTATGTAAATATTAATGCATGCATGCATGCATGATTCCAACTTATGCTTCTGTTGTGTGATTCATACTGAGCATGTTTTTTATATTCTTCCTTTTCAGAAATGTATGCAACTATACCTGCAGCCAAATAAATAACATCAAATCTGCTTGCTTTGTAAGTACCAACCCTTCAAGGTGCAAGCAAACAAAACATGTGATTAACTTAAAATATAAAGTTATTTTATATAACATGCAGAAAGTGCAACAGGCGCACATTGTGGATACCATAGCCAAGAAACATGGCATGGACAGTAATTCAGTATGCGTGTGGCAAGACATTTTGCACTTCCCAGGTGGCATTTTTAAAATCATGTGAGATGGGAGGATCAGTGCTGACAGTTCTTCTCAGCCAAGTCATTATGACCATCTGCTCTCACTTTTACTGAGCCAAGAGCTTCTATAAAGAGAAGGCATGCCACAGGATGGTTGGCCTCTTTTGCAGTAATAGGATCTCTGGAACCTTGAGAATGGAGCTGACTCTGTATTTCCTATGGCAAAGTTTTGTACATTTTAACTTCAGTTCTTGGTCAAAGCACAGAGTAAAAAGCAACACAAGCCTCCTTAACTAGGGTAGCTGAAGAATGGGCAAGATCTTTCAATCTCTATGTGAAACCACCATCAACACTGATTCCACAAAGGAACAAGTCCATACAGGTTTGTGTGAGGATCATTTATAAGCTGCTACCATTTATGCTATTGTCACCCATGTTAAGCATCTGCTAATGTTACTCAGCTCTTGATATACAGTAATGTTTTGCACAGATAGTTCCATATTTGCAGAAAGACTGGGAAAAGGTTTTTAGGAAACTCATATTTTAATATGTTAACATTTAACAAACAAAAATATATTTAACAAGTATGCAAAAACTGCATCTGTGCCTGATGATAAGAACAAAGTTGTTATTAACATTCCCCCATGTACAAAAGGAAAGTTAGTAAGCACAAATGCAAAAATCTCTCATGGTATTAATTTGTTCAGTGTATCTGGGAAGATGAGTATCACACTTTTCCTTTGTGAGAGTATAAAAGGTAACAGAGAGCAATATTTCAGATTTTATACCAGTCAGAGAGTGTTGCATACCAGAAGTTTGTTCTTCAATACATCACTGAGTGTACTAATGTTAGAAAGTTTATTCCATGTTTGTTGATTTAAGTGAACTCAAGTGAACAACCTAAAAATATTGAATGCTTGGCATGAATATGAATTCTGGTTGTTGAATGTGATGGATACAAAATATGCTTGAATAAAACATGCATGTAATTAAATGGAATGCTTGGTGAATGGTTGGTTGTTGAGCAAGGAGTAAGACAAACAGGTGTGCTATCCCATTGCTTACTGAGTATACAAGGAATGCTTGTGATGATGCTAGATATATGTAGCTGAGATGTAAAAATATGCATATTTTTGTATGGGGATGTTATCATGTGATTGGTTGACAACCTGAACAGTTTGTTGATCAGATAACGTGATAGAATGAGAAGTTTGGACATCAAAATTAGTATGTCAAAGATCAAGTTAATTGCAGTTGACACAGAAACAGATCATGATTGCAAGTTAAAAGAAATTGTAAAAATATTAGAGAAGGAGATGAATGCGAGTACTAAAGATGAAAAAAGGATAAATTTTAAGGTTGAGTAAATACTGTGCAAAAGATAATAGATATTTAGCATTTAATTGGAAGAAATGAATGTTTGTTAAAAGAAGCAAACATGGGTGTGCGTAACATGATGCTTTGCCCACTTAATTATAAGAGGAGAAACATAAAAGAAAGTTGAATAAAAGTGGGAATGGGATACTAAGCGTGTGATACATTAAAAAAAGGTATGGTCAAAAATGATTGAATAACTGACGAATAAACTGAATGCAAAAGTGAATAATACGTAGGTACAAAACAAGTGTTTCAAATTGTTTTGGTCATAAAGAATGAGGATTCATTTATAGGTGGATTGAAGAAGTTTAGAGGAAAGGAAAGAATGAGAAAGTTGTAATTGGATAGAACTGATAAAAATCTTCAAAAAGAGAGAGGTGAAAACTTTAAAGTGCAAAAGCCTATGAAATGGTGGGTGGATAGATTAGAAGCATGGCTGATTTGCAAAGACAAAAAGGTGTGGAGGAGTTTCAGGAATGGTACTGGGGAAAAATAGATTTAACTATATTTTCCTTGCTTTTTCTTGTTATGCCTTTAACCTTTGTTGCTTACTTATTGCTTTTCCTTGCTTTGCAGAACTGCTGACTGCGAAAGGAAATTGCATAATGGGAATGAAGATATGTTGAGTGTCAATATAAGTTATTTATAGGTGAAATGTCATCATTAAAATAGACAGGATATGCTTGCATATGCTGGCAGCCTATACTGTCTTCCAGGGTAGGGAAATGCAGTATGATTCTCCAAATACATTGATTTTCCATCAGTAATACATACCATGTGTGACTTTGCATTAAGGAAAAGGGATGCCATTCATACAATCCTGGTATTTAATATTCCCTGTGTTCCCCTGACCCCAAAAGATTTCCTGAGATTTAGGAAACTCTTGGAAATAGAATGAAACAGACATTGGACAGCTGCCACAGCTGTAAGGGGATATCAGTACATGTATCTATTTAAGTAAACAGGAAGGTTTTCTGCAAAGTTTTTTTTTTTAAAAAAAAAAACATCAGTGCAACAACGAAGCAAACAAAGTAATTTTCTTGGATCAAGTGACTGACCTCAGAAGGATGGAAGACTGAATCAATCTTGAGCCTATCAAGACCGAACTTCAGGCTGAGGGCAGAGTTTCCCTGCAATGTTACATTCTAACAACTGTGCCACCAGGGCTCCTAAAAGTTGGTTAGAAGCTGCAAACTGCTGAAACCACACACTAATCTTTGGGTGCCACAGCAGAAAAAGCTTTCCTCCTGAGTCCTATCAAATGATATTCCTTCATGGATGGGTTCTGCAATATGCCTTTTTTTGCCAGACCTGATGGGACAGGTAGATGTTAGATGTACTTGGAGATAGGCAGTCTCTCAGCAGTGCAATTGGCTCTTAAAATACTGCCTTAATTTTCTCAGCTATCTTAAGATAACTACTTTCCCCCTTTTATCTTAAAGGAAGTATTTTCAATGAAAAACAAGTAGAAAGATATATGGAATTATTATGAAAATCCACAGAGCCATGAAAACAAACAAGTTAGATTCAGAGAACAATAGATACATCTGATTGTTGATTTCTTTCTCTGTAGCTTTTTCAATACCCCATATGGGAATACTTTCTTTTGTTTAGGTAATTATTTTTAATTCAATACCCTGATGTTCTGTTTTGGAGCAGATTGTAGTGAATTCAGATAGTCTTCAGCCCAGCAGCACCTGAAACCATTCCACAACAAGACCTGGTATCTAGCCACGTCTGCTTGCCTTTTAGAGGGCTCGAACTACAATAAACCAAATTTCTTTATTCTTTGATTAACTTGCATGTACAAAATACTTGTATATGCATATAATGAGCCCACCAGAGTCTCATCCTCACCTTACACTCCGCTGTTAAAATATCCACAATAGTCTGATCTTTTCTCAACATATCTAGACTAAAGTCATAGTATTTAAAAGCATCCTGCACTTTTCATTTGAGCTTCATTACATTTCCAATGAATTTTTAAGCAAAGTCTTACTTTCTCAATTGTAAGGCTGTGAATCCCTATATGACTTATCATATTTTATTTCATTTCCTTTGCACGTTTGTTCTCACTGAATAAAGGATCAAGTAATTCAGTGGATTCTCTTACGGGCCACAAGCAGTTTTAATAAGTTTATGGTTACTAAAATTCATTTCCTCTGATGCAATAAATAATGGCAAAACAACAAGCCTTCTCAAGCAAATGAATAACTGAGGGAAACACAGTTTTTAGGGCAGTGGTTCTCAACCTGTGGGTCGGGACCCCATTTGGGGTCGAACAACCATTTCATGGGGGTCGCCAAACAACGCAGTCCGCCATTTTTTCCCCTTTTCCTTAGCTGTGCTACTCCCTTTTATTCTACTGGCTTTTGAAAGCCAATAGAATAAACTCTCTTGAATAGAGTCTAATTCTATTGGCTTTCAAAAGCCAATAGGAATTGTCCAGGCTGTCTCTGCCCTGCTGAGCCCGCCAAAAGTCCCATTCTGCAAACGATGCTGCACCAGTTGAGTAGTCCTTGACTTATGACCGGTTGAGTAGTCCTCGACTTATGACTGGTTGGGGGTCGCGGCATTAAAAAGGTTGAGAACCACTGTTTTAGGGCATTGTCACAAAGGTTGTATGGCAAGTTGAATTGGTAAAGTTGGATTTTTGTTTATGTCTTTTGAGAGCTCCATAGATTGGGTTTATATGTCTGTTGATTGCAGCTTGGTTGGAGTGTTGGGCTACTAAGAATGGAAAAATCCTGTGCTGTCAGATACAGGGAAATGTCTATTAAGTATTACCATACCTTAAGTGACCTCTTGTCTGGCTGTATAGTCTTCTCAAGAGAATTACTGTTAGCTCCTTCTCCAGAAATAGCATTTGCAAAATCTTTTCATTACAAACACTGGAACTGACCTCCTGGCTCTTGACTTTATCGTACAGTTTCTTCCAGTTATTATTCTCATCCCTATGGCAGAATTTGAAATTAAACAGAGATTGATTTTTGGTAATTTCTAAAAACAGACAGCATGACAAGTAAAACAGGCAGCGTGCCTTGGGCTCAAAATGAGCCAGTACCTTTCACACTCTTGCAATTAGGCAGAGTCTTGGAAGAAACAGATGTAGGAACTGAATGTTTGGAGAAAAACTTACAGAGTTGAGTTGAGGTGATGTGCCCCAAAGTAACTGGGTCAACAGATATCAGGTATCTTGAAGAAACATATTCAAGATGTAAAGTGTTTTCTTCACCTGAAGTTCTTGTGCCACCATACCTGATTCATATTCACATTCATATTCAGTTGCATTCTCAGCTAATTTCCTTTGAGATGTTGTCACAAACTCTTATCCTCTTGTCATGCTTGTCCCACTTCCTCTATTAAGCATACTCAACCAGAGTTTGCTTCCCTTTTCAGAAATAAATATTTTATCTGTCTTCTTTTCTGTGCCCAAGACTGATACATTTACTTTATTATCTTCTCCAAAATAATGGAACATTTCTGGATTATGAAGAAGGCTACCTACTTTATTTAGCATATAAGAGCAGAGAAGCAGGTTGCAGGACATTCAACTGTGTAACTAACATAATTCAATCCAAACTTGGGGGCAATGTCAGTTAAGATACCATAGAGGGGCCATTGTAGCAAAAACATCTCTCTTGTAATGGAGCTTAGCTGTTCATACTCATTTGTATTTCCCTTTGCTTCTTTGATGAGTAGCTCCTTTTCCAAAGACTTTTATCATGTAGCTCTGCCAACTTTGTCTCCCTCAAGGCCACTCCTACTTCAGATCCCTCTGGAACCTTCCCAGTTATAAAGTCCCCTTTGGTTTGCCCAGCCCCTATTTTCCATGTTTCTGTGGGTTCAGAAACTGATATTGGGTCAAGATCAGTCCTATTCTTGCTATGAGCCCAGGTTGAATTAGAGCTCAGACTCAGCAAGTAAAATAGAGAACAGAGTGAAGATGCTTAATGAGAGTTCTTGCTACATAAAGGAGTAACTATCTTAATTAAAGATAGCTGGCTACAACCTGACCCATGTTTCTCCATTGGAAATAACTGTCTGATTGCCTGCTCTGTTGCTCCTGTGTATTCTGCTTGCATAAAAAAACTTGAAACTCCAATCTTTGGACTGGTTGACAAACCAGGCTTGGCTCACTGAACTTTGGGCTGGATTTTAACTTTTCTTTTGAGTGTTCCCATTGAAAATATGATTAACTCAGGGACTCTTCCAAGAGAGTCTGTTTTGATTTGCATTCCCTTCCTCATCTGCCATTTATTTACTCATCTTTGAGTAAATTACTCTTATCATCTAGAAAACTGTGCAATGTGTATGAGTTTGAAATCTGAACTAGGAGTTTGTTTCCATTCTCACCCCCAAGAGAAACTTGGAAAGTACAGTGGAACAATTTACACTTGAAAATACTCAACTAATCAACAGATAGAAGTGTTTTAATGGTTGCAATATTTCATGTTTCTTATTCAACCTATTTGTTGAAGTGATCATGAGGAACATCAACAATCTTGAATCTGCTGATGACACAATTCTCATCTCAGAAACCAAAGAAGGCCTAAAACATTTGATCAAAAGGATAAAAGAAGAAAGTGAGAAATTTGGTCTCTTCCAGAATGTCAAAAAGGCCAAGCTCGTGATCACTGTGAGAAATAGAAATGTTATAATGACAATTGCAAATTGATCAAAGCAGTGAATGCAGTCCAGAAATGAAGTGTCAAATTGCACTGGGTCACACTGCAATTATTAGCATGAATCAAATATGGTAAAGCAAAGACATCAGTCTGGCATCTAAATATAGATTAGTTTGTACTATCATGTCTTCCTACAGCTACCTACAGCTATGAAAGCTGGACCATGAAAAAGCTAGACAGGAGGTGGTGTTGGAGAAGGGTCCTGAGGATTCCTTGGACAGCAAAGGTAACAAACAAGTACAGGAGCATATAAAACCAGACATATCATTGGAAGGCAAAATCACAAAATTCTGCCAATACTTCTTTTGGCCATATCATGTGATCAAACTCACTGGAAAAAACAGTTATGCAGCATCAATGAAAGGAAAGAAGACTGCCAAAAAACACAGTGGATAGACATCATAGACATCAGCCAGAAAATAAACAACTGAAAGAAGCTGTACAACATTAGACAATGACATTGTACAGCTTCTTTCTGGAATATAGAATTTCTGAGAATTGGACACAATTGAAAGCACTCAACTAGGCCTGCTAATACTTGCTACATAAATAGCCTATGAGCTACTGACACAGCTAATGTAGGAGCTGTTCCTCTTCCATTGAGGATATATCTAGTAGCCACGCCAGAGAAATGTGATGACTTGCACAATCATTTTCCAGCTTTCTTTGTACAATACATACTCTTCATAGACCTATATTTTGAAGACTTCCAAAATGATTATATATGTGTGGAATGGATGACCAACTGGAGCTGATGCTAAAAGGATCACACCTTTTTTGCTACAGTAGAGGCTTCTGCTAGATTAGTTTGATGGATGTAGATAGCAATTAAAGATTATATACACATATCCCATGAAACCTTGGACTGCCAATAGGTGCATTTATGAACTGAAGAAAGGGCAAGGCCTGGTGGCTGAATACATCAATACCATTAGTTTATTAGCTCATGATTTGGACTGGAACAATGCAGGTTTGGCTAATCAGTTTTAGGAGGGTCTGT